TATTTATACTTTATATTATAAGTCTAACTTAAGAATTCACAACTTTTAATTTTAAATAAATACGGAAACGAGTGTCCCAAAAATACAAATAAAGAAAGAGAAAAAGAATTAAAGAAATCAACGGTTCCAAGAAAAAAAAGAAAAAAACTGAATGCGGAGAAATGCCGCCCATATTTGGAAAAAATGGATAGACCGAATTCCAATCCAGTAAAAATGGATTGGATTGGGAAAAAAACCGATAAAGGGATTCTCTTGCAATCATGAGAAAACAACAAGTGTATAAAAATGTCGACGTAATTGAAACAGATCGATTAGGTGAGGTTGAGGGTGACCTAATAGTTGATATTTTCAAAGCCAAAGAAGTTCAATAAGTAGTAGCCAGGGAAAGAATATTTGCTACTATTTTCTGGGCCTTGAGGCCGACTTAAGGGTTATCGCAGTGCGGTAGATCGAGTCGAGCTTAATCTGAATACTCGGTATTTGCAGTGCTGTGTTAACCTCCCTTTCTCAAAAAAGTTGATTCCTTTGGTTATGTTTTGGAAAACGGTAATGCGAATTGAAGAAGAAGCTGTTTTTATTTTATTTTTATTTTTTATCAGCAAAGATGAGAATTATTATTAAAGCGATTACAAGTGCCACTTGAACGCTTTTACAGGTAATAATTTTAATTGCATTCTTATAATTCTTTAGCCGACAAATGGAGAGAGAGACACCAGTCCCTAAATGAGAATTTGGCATTCAAGGTTTTACTCTTAATCCACGAGAAAGATTTAGATTGATTTAACTCAAGGATTCTATGTTTATCCCACTGCATATTCTTGAAAATAATTCCGTTCCTGGGATTCCAAATAGTTCAAGCAACCACAAGAACTGTAAATAACCCTCCTGACCTTGCCTTGTTATAGTCTGAGAAGAAGATGCTACTCCGAAGTGAATTTGGAGAATTGGGTTTAATTCCTCCTAATAACACCCTTAATCTTGAAATTAAGGGACCATTGCAGGAATTGGGTTTTAGGCTTTGAGAGTCATCACATTTGAGTAGTAAAAATCCCTCCAAGAATTGCCATGTGAGCAGCGTGGGTCACCGCAAGGGAGAAAATTTGACTCACTCAGCGTCATATCATTTATGGAATCAATCGAAATGGATTCTTTATTTTTTTAAAAATGAAAATAATCAAGAGGACAATTTTTTGTATACAATTTTTTAATATAATTTTATATATTATTTAGTAATTAATTTTTTATAATATTATGTATATTCACTCATATAATAATACATGTAAATTGTAAATAAAATTTATACAAATAAGTTGCGTGTGTATTATTACTTTTTTTTAACCAAAAAATTGGCTTTCCATTAAACATAACATGATTGCTGACCGTCAGGTGTTCAATAAGGGCTAATTTGCAATAATTTTTTCAAGTTTGAGGGTTTAAAACGCAAACTTATTAATCAGGCAAGTCAGTAAAATGCTTCTGACCAAAAACGCAAAACCTTTTTGTTGACTACAACAATATGCTTGTTAGGAATGGTCTGAACACAGATCTAAGCCTCTTTTGATCCAAAAGGCCTGCATATGGACGGTGGGTGTTGTATTTGTGGAGGAATGGAAACATGCAGCCACTTCTTTTTTGAATGCTCTTATACCAATGTTTAAAACTCGACTTGGTAAGTAACTTGTTTTCAGCACTAGATTTGGTTCAATTAGTTTGATAGGTTGTTTCGATTGGTCAAATAAAAAGTTGAATTTTTCAAAAAAAATTTTTTTGTATATTTTATTACTTGTATAAATTAAAGGTTAAAATATAAACTTGGTCACTTGACTTTTAGATTTGTAATAAAATTGTCCTTCAATTTCAAAAAGAATCAAAATTGTCCCTAACCTTTAATTTTGGGTGCCAAAATAGTCCTTGAATTTTAAAAATAAGTATCAACTTAGTTCCTGAACTTTGAAAATAAGTATCAATTTAGTTTTTAAACTTTGATTATAAATATCAATTTGGTTTTCTAACTTTGATTATATATCAATATAATGTGTAAATAGAAATATAATATAATGAAAAAATATGATTGCTTGATTTTATATGTCATTAGTATTTTAAAAAGAAATTGATTTTGTGACAAAATAACAAGTTACGTGATATTTCTATTAATAAAAGAACTATTTTGGTATTAAAAATTAAAATTTAGGGACAATTTTGATTTTTTTTGAAGTTAGAGGATAGTTTTAAAAATAAATTGAAAAGTTAAAGGACCAAATTAGCATTTTACCTAAATTAAATTTTTTTTTCGCAAAAGACTAATCACAACTAAAATTGTCAATATTGTAGGGTTGGGTCTACAATTCATCTTATCCTATGTATGGATTGATTTATGAACTGGTTCTAAATATAATTATCTTAAAAATAACTTGTAAATTACTTAAGAAGTAATTTAAAAAGTTAAATTTAATTAGGTACATGTAATTTAATAATATAAAATGAATAAAAATAAATATTTAAAAAATTAAACTAAAAAAGATTTTGAAATAAACAGCTTTGGGTTAATGAGTTGATTAGGATTTATGGGTTCGACTGATCTAATCTTTCCAATGAATTAAATAACAAAGTTAAAGTATTTACTTCACCAATTTTATACCAAATTTAGTTCAACCAATTCAATTGAGTGAATTGGGTCGGGTTTAAAAGTATGGTTTGTACTAATGCAGTGTGGAAAGAAGTCTTGCAGAAATTCCGAATTTGTAGAATTCCAACGGTAAGGAGAATGGAGATGGATCATGAGAAAATGCCGGGGGCGTATTAAAAAATAAGATTACATAAAACTAACAGGGGCGTAAACGTGAGAATTAAATACTAAGAAATAAGATTACATAAAAGCAAGCAAACAGGGCATGGTTAACGCTGGTAGGCCACACTAGTTAAGGCTGCATAAATATTGTATTTTTTTTATAAATAATTAATTATGTTATTTAAAAATATTAATTTA